ATTGTGACGAGCCGTGGAGCCACGAGCATCGCTGTAGAAAAGGGAGACTTCTTATGATTGAACCAGTAGAAGAAGAGGTCATTAAACATCCAGAAGAGAGTCTTGAATATGAAATAGAAGATATGGAAGAAGAGCCACAACCGACCGACATTACGGTACACGCACTAGCTGGCTACTCAAACCCGCAAACAATGAAAGTTGGAGGCCTTCTCAAACAATAGCCGATTACTGTTCTCATCGACACGGGCAGCACTAATAACTTCCTGAATAGTAAGGTTGCTGCTCGGATGACACTGCATATTGAAGGTTGCAGCAAGTTCGATGTAAAGGTGGCCAACGACAGAATCCTAAAGTGCGACCAAAGATGCCCGCAGGTGAAACTATTACTACAAGACCAAAAAATTATCACCGATTTCTTCCTCCTACCACTTGATGACTATGAGGCAGTGCTTGGTATAGAATGGCTGACTACACTAGGTGATGTCTCTTGGAACTTTTCTAAATTAATTATGAAATTCTACTGTAAGGGCAAATAGATCATCCTACGTGGGAAGCGCGGAAGCAACGTTACCACTGTTTCAACCCAACGAATGGAGAAAGTTTTACACAAGGTAAATGGTGGCTTTTTGATGCACCTCCAGCAGCAACCAGAGGGGAAGAAAATAGAAATTGAAGATCAAAATCTTGCCTAATTGCTTACTGAATTTGCCGACATTTTTATTGAACCATGCGGTCTTCCTCCTTCTCGATAACATGACCATCGAATTCCAATCCTTCTGGGCAAGCCACCAGCGAACACTCGACCGTACCGATATCCTCACCTCCAAAAAGATGAAATTGAAAATATCGTAAAGGAGATGCTTGAAACAGGGGTGATTCGGCCAAGTTGCAGCCCCTATTTCTCACCAGTGCTACTTGTACGCAAGAAGGACGGAACTTGGCGGATGTGCATCGACTACCGAGCTTTAAATGGCATCACCATCAAGGACAAGTACCCAATACCAGTGGTGGATGAACTTCTTGATGAATTAAAAGGAGCTCGAGTCTTCACGAAGTTGGACCTCCGATCCGGTTACCACCAAATTCGGGTATGTGAAGATGACATTCCAAAAACTGCATTCCGCACACATGATGGTCATTATGAATTCTTGGTAATGCCTTTTGGACTCACTAATGCTCCTTCAACCATTCAAAGTCTCATGAACGATATTTTTTGGAGCTTTCTTCATAAATTTGTGCTGGTATTTTTCGATGATATTCTCATTTACAGCCCTTCTCTTGAGACTCACTTTCAGCATTTACGGATTGTTCTGACAATCCTTCGGGAGAATACTCTTTTTGTTAAGCAACCAAAGTGTAGCTTTCTCCAGCAAAAAGTAGAGTACCTTGGGCACATAATATCAGAAGAAGGAGTGGCGGTAGACCCAACAAAAATTAAGACAATGCAAGGGTAGCCGAAACCTACAAACGTGAAATTACTACGCGGGTTCCTTGGACTAACAGGCTACTACCGAAAATTTGTTAAGGACTATGGGAAGATCAGTACACCACTCACTTCTCTACTGAAAAAAGATGCTTTCCAATGGTCGGACAAAGCCTCTGCTACCTTCGACAAACTTAAGGTAGCCATGACAACGACGCCGGTGCTAGCGCTATCAGATTTCAGTCGACCCTTCATCATTGAGACCGACGCATCTGGAGTCAGAATTGGAGCCGTTCTCATGCAAGATGGTCGACCACTCGCATACACTAGCAAGGCTTTATCTCCCTCCCATCAAAACATGTCAGTATATGATAAGGAGATTCTCGCCATTTTACACGCAGTAATGAGGTGGAGACCCTACCTGATCGGTCAGCGATTTCAAATTAAAACCGACCATAGAAGCCTCAAGTATTTTTTGGAGCAAAAGATATCATCCCCTGAGCAACAAAAATGGGTAACCAAACTTCTTGGATTCGATTATGAAATTATTTACAAAAAGGGGAAAGAAAACGTTGTTACGGATGCACTCTCACGGCTACCTGAGCAAGCTAAGGTTTCAGCCATCTCCCTTCCTACCACTAGTCTCCTCGTGGACATTAGGGAAGAATGGAAGAAGGATCTAGAGATCAGCA